GGGAGTCTGCCCCCATGATCCAGTCACCTCCCACCAGATTCCTTTTCTAACATTGGGGATTACAGTTCAACATAAGATTTGGGCAGGGACACAAATCCAAACCATGTCATACACCCAGCACATTTCTCCTGCAGCCAGCATCTGGCAAAGCCATCTCAGAAAGATTCTGCATAACCAAGGAACTCGTACAGAGTCTCCACCACTGAAAGCTCCCAGAGCTGAAGCTAAGTGATGATAAACTATAAACATTTAAGTCACATCCTCAAGGGGGAGAAAAGGACATTTTTTAAAATAACCTAGAATGATAAAAATACATGCAAAAATAGTTAGAATAAATAGTCTGCTCACATGAGAAGGAATGAGAAAACTAATTCTGGCAATATAAAAAAATGGAGAGTCACTCCCAAGATACCATGCCACTTCTCCAGCAGTGGATCCAAATTAAGATGAGATCTTTGAAATACCAGATAAAGAATACAAAAGGTTGATTATGAAGTTACTCAAGGAGATACAAAAAAAACAGAAAGGTGAAAACCAACAAAAAAATTGAAAAAACGATTCAGGATATGACTGAAAATTTTCTAAATTGCTATTTTAAAGAAAAACCAACCAGAACTTCTGGACGTGAAAGACACATTTGGGGAACTACAACATGCGGTGGCAAGCTTTAACGATAGACTAGACCAAGTAGGAAAAAGAATTTCAGAGCTCAAGGACAAGGCTTTTGAATTAATCCAATCAGACAAAAATTAAGACAAAAGAATTAAATAAAGTCATCCAGAAATAGAGGATTATATAAAATGGCCAAACTTAATAATTATAGGTGTTCTCAGAGAAGAAAAAGCAAAAAAATGTGGAAAACTTATTTGGGGGAATAAATGAGGAAAACTTCCTGGCCTTGTTAGAGATTTAAACATCCAAATACAAGAAGCTTAAAGAACTTCTGAGAGACTCATTGCAAAAGGGGCATCACCAGGGCATGTAGTCATCAGGCTATCTAAAGTCAGCATGAAGGAAAGAACTCCTAGAGGAGTTAGACAAAAGTATCAGGTAACAGCAGACTTCTCAGCAGAAACCTTACAAGCCAGAAGGGATTGGGGTCCTATCTTGAGTCTGCTTAAACAGAATAACATCCAGCAAAACTAAGTTTCATAAATGAAGGAGAAATAAAGTGTTTCTCAGACAAGCAAATGGCCAGGGGAATTTGTCAATACTAGACTAGCCCTACAAGAAATGCTAAAAGGAATTCTAAATCTTGAAACAAAAGATTGATACACATCAAAATAGAAATTTCTGAAGGCATAAAATTCACAAGGATTTCATAAAACAATACATAGAAGAAAACAGTCACTAGGTAATAACATGATCTATTTAAAAGATACAGATTGGCAGAATGGATAAAAGTTACAAACCAAATATCTGCTATCTTTAGAAGACACACATAACATAAGGATTCTTGTAGACTCAAAGTAAAGGAGTGGAAACAGATATTTCATAGAAGTGGAAATCAAAAGCAAGGAGGAGTAGCTATTCTTATATCAGATAAAATAGACTATAAAAGCAACAACAGTAAAAAAAAAAAAAGGTCATTATATAATAGTAAAAAGATCTATTCAACAAGAAAATGTAACAGTCCTAAGTATATACAGCACCTAATTTTCAAGCTTCCAGGTTTGTAAAGCAATTACTGCTAGATCTAAGAAAAGAGACAGACAGCAGCACTGTGATGGGGGGGACTTCAGCACTCCACTAACAACGGTAGACAAATCATTGAGGCAGAAAGTCAACAAGGAAACACTGAGGTTAAACTACACTGTAGAATAAATAGACCTAATATATATTTATAGAACATTCTACCAAGGAACTGCAGAATAAACACAATTCTCATCAGTACACAGAGCATTCGTCAAAGTAGAACACATGATAGGCCACAAAACAAGTCTCAATAATTTTTTGAAAATTGAAATTATATCAAGTATCTTCTCAGATCACAGCCGAATAAAACTAGAACTCAATTCTGAAAGGAACCCTCAAAACTATATATAGACACAGACCTTAACAATCTGCTCTTGAATGATGTCTGGGCTAACAATGAAATAAAGATGAAAATTGAAAATTTTGCAGTGAATGGTAACAGTGAAATAAGTTTTCAAAACTTCTGGGATACGGCAAAAACTATGCTAAGAGGAAATGTATAGCACTAAACACCTACATCAAAAAGTATGAAATATTATAAGTTGACTACCTAACATGACACCTCAAGGAACTAGAGAAACAAGAACAAACCAAACCCAAAGTTAGCGGACGAAAAATAACAAAGATCAGAGCATAAGTAAATGAAACTGAAACAAAAAAATATACAAAATATTAAACAAAAAGCTGGTTCTTTCAAAAGATAAGCAAAATAGATAGACCACTAGCTAGATGAACCAAGAAAAGATCAGAGATGATTCAACTAATCTCAATTAGAAATTAAGATGGAGACATTATAACTGATACCACACAAGTACAAAAGATTATTCAAGACTACTATGATGAACACCTGTTTTGCATACAAACTAGAAAATCTAAAGGAAATAGATAAGTTATTGGAAACATACAACTCCCCCAAGCTTGAATCAAGAAGAAATAGAAATCCTGAACACACCAGTAACAAGCAGTGAGATTGATTCAGTAATTAAAAAAATAAAACTGCCAATTAAAAAAGCCCCTGGCCAGACGGAATCAAAGCTGAATTCTACCAGATATTCAAAGAATCGATACTAATTCTGGCTGGGCACGATGGCTCATGCCTGTAATCCCAGCACTTTGGGAGGCCAAGGCAGGGATCATTGAGGTCAGGAGTTCAAGACCAGCCTGGCCACCATGGCGAAACCCTGTCTCTACTGAAAATACAAAAATTAGCCAGGTGTGGTGGCATGTGCCTGTAGTCCCAGCCACTTGGAAGGGTAAAGCAGGAGAATCTCTTGAACCCAAAAGGCAAAGGTTGCAGTGAGCCATTATCACGCCACTGCACTCCAGCCTGGGTGACATAGTGAGACTCTGTCTCAAAAAAAAAAAAAAAGAATTGATACCAATTCTATTGAAATTTTTCCAAAAGATTGAGAAGGCGGGATTGCTCCCTAACTTATTCTCTGGAGCCAGTATCACCCTGATGCCAAAACCAAGGAAGGACATAACAAAAAAGTACAGACCAGTATACCTGATGAACATAGATGTAAAAATCCTCAACAACAAACAATCTGACAGCACATCAAAAAAATAATTCCCTATGAGGCCAAGTGTAGTGTCTCCCACCTGAATCGCAGCACTTTAGGAAGCCAAGGTGAGAGGATCATTTGAGGCCAGGAGTTTCAGACCAGCCTGGCCAACATGGCGAAACCCCCTCTCTACTAAAAATACAAAAATTAGCTGGAAATGTTGGTGCGGGCCTGTAATCCCAGCTACTTGGGAGGCTGAGGCAGGAGAATTGCTTGAACCCAGGAGACAGATGTTTCAGTAAGCTGAGATCATGCAACTGCAAGACTCTGTATCAGGGGGAAAAAAAGTTAAAAGGTAATTCCCCATGATCAAGTGGGTTTCATTCCAGGGATTCAGAGATGGTTCAGCATATGCAAATCAATAAATATGATTCATCACATGAACAGAATTAAAAACAAAAACTATCAATAAATCCAGAAAAAGCATCCAATAAAATTCAGCATCCCTTTATGATAAAAACCCTCAACAAACTAGGCATAGAAGGAACACACCTCAAAATAAAGCCATATATGACACACTCAACAGCCAGCATCATACTGAACAAGGAAAAGTTGAAAGTATTCCCCGTAAGAACTGGAACAAGGGAAGGGTGCCCACCTTCACTGCTTCTCTTCAGCATATTATAGTACTGGAAGTCTTAGAGCAATCAGGCAAAAGAAAAAAACAAAGGGCATGCAAATTGGAAAAGAGGAAATCCAATTATCTCTGTTTGCCAATGGTTATATACCTAGAAAACCTTAAGGACTCCATCAAAAGACTCTTCAGATAAATGAATTGGAGAAAGTCTCAGGTTATAAAATCAGTGTACACACAGTAGTAGCACTGCTGTACACCAACAACAACCAAGCTGTGAATCAACTCCCTTTTACAATTGGGCCATATGTGGGTGTGGGTGCGGGTGTGTGCGTGTGGTGTGTGTATCTAAAAAGTCATCACCATATCCATGGTCATCTAGGTTTTCTCCTGTGTTCTCTTTATGAGCTTTATGATTTTGCGTTTTGCACTTAGGTCTATGATCCATTTTGAGTTAATTTTTATGAAAAGTGTAAGGTCTCTGATCCTTTTTTTATGTCGATGTCCAGCACCACTGTGGAAAATACCATCTTTTTACCATTGTATTACCTTTCTACTTTGTCAGAGATCAGTTGACTACGTTAATGTGGGTCTATTTCTGGGCTCTCTATTCCACTGACCTATTTGTCTGTTTTTTTCACCGATACCATATTGTCTTGATTAGCTTTCCAGCTAGTCTTGAAGTCTGTTAATAGATGCAGAATTATTTTGATAACACTTGTCAACTAAAGTTTGTGGATTTTTAAGCTGGTGATCTGTTACCAACCTAATTCTACTCTTCCCTGTGCTCTCATTTGTCTTCGTAGTACTCCAGTTGGAAAAATAGAGCTGCTGTAGTTGAATTAACAATCAAGCTTGGCTTTACGTAATTTTTTCCCCCAATTGTAAGTCCTGGTCTATCATAATGCTATTTAAGAGGCTATGAGAGTGCCTCCAGTACCTACAACAAATATGTAACTCACTTTTAATCAAGAAGTTAAGGTTAAGTGAAGATAAATCAGCCAGATGGAATTTTAAAATTATATATGTATTCTGTTTATTATACAAGTATTTCATAGGTTGCAATGATAAAAAATGTTGACAGTGGCTTTTAAATATTATAAACATGAATATAGTCTTTATGATTTGGTATTAGTTATGGCTGTTTTTTTCTTCTTTTGTTTTAGGAGTCTACTATGGCTCAAGAATCTCCCAAAAATTCAGCAGCAGAAATTCCAGTGACCAGTAATGGAGAAGTTGATGACTCTCATGAACATGGCTTTAATAGGGTAAGAACACTTTTCTTTGTCTTAATGCAAAGAATCATGATAAGCCTTTAAATATTGAGATGAAAATAATAGACAAAATTTAATATAGAATTGTTTCCTAAGACTGGCTTCAGTCAGGAATCTAATGTTATGATATAGAGACAATGAGGAAGGCCATTTTAGTAGTTTGTCAAGATTAAGCTCCAGGCCAGTAAACTATTAGACTTTGGTGTTATTTTCAGTAATTGATCAGCCCAAGAGTATGTATGATGATTTTGGTATCTAACTTTATAAGACTACTTAATTCTATTTTTAATAAAAAGATTATCCTTTTAAAATTAGCACTCTTTCCTATATGTATGTCATTTAGTACATAGTTTCTAAATAGCTGCTGTTCATTTTCTAAATTCGCTTTTCATTTTCTAAAGTGCCATACATGACTCAGTGGGAAATAATACTTAGGCTGTGTTTAATTTTGATCTGTCTCTCAGTCAGAATTTAAATTGAGTGCATTTTAGTGGAAACACCATAGGTTTGAAGACTATCTGGGTTCAAATTTTAGCTGTGTCACATTTCTAGCAGGATAACCTTGAGCCGGTTATTTATTTAATCTCTTCAGGTTTTTGTTTTCTAATCTCAGTAATGAAAATCTTATCTACTTTCATGAAGATATTAATATTAAATGAGATAAGTAATGTCTAATACAGTAGAAGTGATAGTGATGATTATGACATTTGATACAAATATATAACTTTAAAAACAGTTTTCATATTTTTGAAAATGTGGTTGAAATGTACTTAAATTATTTTATAGTTTAAATAGGACTCTTCATATGTTTAAGAATAAAATCTTTTCGTTTAGCAGAACGTGATAATTTAAATCAGTATTTCTTAGTCTCAGCATTGCTGACATTTTGGGCCAAATTATACTTTGTTGGGGGTATTAAACTATGCATTGTAGGATGATTAGCACATCTTCCTACTATTTAATAGATGCCAGTAGTACCCTGCAGTTAAGCAGAAATGTCCAGATATTGCTAAATGTCTCCCGGAGAGAGGAGAAATTCCTCCTTGGCTGAGAACCACTGTTATAAATAGATAGTTTAAATGATAGTAGAAAATTCCATTGAATTTTATTTATTTTTGCCTTAGCAGTCTTTTGAAAGGAACTAATATGTCGTCAAGCTTGAGGTTTATTTTAACGGCAAGTGTTTTAACTTGGTTTCTGGGCACCTGTGGTCCAACATAGAGTGACTCATAGAAGCAAGAGACTTTTAAATTCTGAATACACAAAATAAATTTTCATTTCAGATTTTAGTCTTTCCAAGACACACCTGCATAATAAACTCAAGTTAGCATCATTAGACTATGCCAATACTTTGTAAACTTTTATTAATTTAAATACTCATTATGTCAAGATTTCTTCATCTTATTTTTGGTAACAACTCTTTTTGTAAACTTACCATGCAAGTATTTATTATCTGCTCTGTACCAGGAACTAGGGATATAAAGTGACCAAAAATATACCTGACCTCAGGTAGTTGACATTCTAAAACACAATCTGATGAAAGCTAAGGACCTTCATCCAGGAATAATGCAATAGGTAGAAAATGTTGCATTCTTTGTTAGGGAAGTCACTTGCCATCTTAAACCTGTTTTTCTTCTTCCCGTTCTTTTTTATTGAGGTACAGCTTTTATATAGCAGAAAGCACAAATGTTAAGTGTACCGCTCAAGAGAACTATCAAGATAAAGATGTAGAACATTTCCAGGACCTCAGAAGGCTTTCTTCTGCCCTCTCCTAGGCAGTATAACTCACCCCGTGCTCGGATAACCACATTAACCTAACTGTATAATCATAAATTGTTTTTTGCAGTTCCTGAACTATATATCAGTTCAATCATACAGTGTGTACTCTTTTTCAAGTGGCTTTCACTCAACATTATGTCTGTGAGATTCAGTCATATTGTTGCTTATAGCAGTATTTCAATCTTTTAAAAATTTTATTTTACTTTAAGTTCTGGGATATATATGCAGAACGTGCAGGTTTGTTACATATGTATAGGTGTGCCACAGTGGTTCTCTGCACCTATCAACCCGTCCTCTAGGTTTTAAGTCCTGCATGCATTAGGTATTTGTCCTAATGCTCTCCCCACTGCCTTACCCCCCACCCCCTGAGTATTTCAGTGTTTTAAATTGTAGTATAGCTTTCCAGTGTGTTAATATACCACAGTTTGTGTATCATTTTTCAGTTGATGGTTATCTAGGTTGTTTCTAGTTTATGGCTATTATGAATAAAGCTGCCGTGACCATTCTTGTACAGATATTTTGGTGTACATGATTATTTGTTTCTGTCAGGTACATACCCAAAAGTGAAATTGCCAGGTCATGCCAGGTCAAACATATGAATGTTTGGCAAATGGTTGAACCAGGTGACAACACCAGCAATGAATAAGAGTTCTTCTGGTTGTTCCACATCCTTACCAGCTCTTCGTATTGTCATACATGATCCAGTCACCTCCCACAAGGCCCCACCTCTAACATTGGGAATCACATTTCAGCATGAGATTTGGAGGGGACACTTTGCCCCTGGCCTCCTAGATCTCATGTTCTCACATTTCAAAATACAGTCATGCTTCACAATAATTCCGTAAAGTCTTAACTCATTCCAGCATTAACTCCTAAGTCTAAACTCTCAAATAGAGATGAATTTCTTCCACCTATGAGTGTATAAGATCAAAAACACGTTGTTTACTCCCAAGATACAATGGTAGTACAGGCATAATGTATACATTCCCATTCCAAAAGGGAGAATTTGGCCAAAAGAAGGGAGCAATAGGCCCCACACAAGTTTGAAACCCAGCAGAGAAATCATTAAATCTTAAAGTTTCAAAACAGTTTCCTTTACTCTGTGCCCTGCATCCTGGGCACACTGGTGCAAGGGATGGGCTTCTAAGGCCTTGGGCAGCTCTGCCCCAGCCTCCATGGCTGCTCTCATTAGTTGGAGTTGAGTGCCTTTGCCTTTTCCATACTGAGATTGCAAGCTGCTGGTGGCTCTACCATTCTCAGGTCTAGAGGGTGGTGGTTCCCTTCTCACAGCTCCCCTAGGCAGTGGCCCACTGGGGACTCTGTGTGGAGGGGCTGCAGTTGCCAAGCTTCCTTCACTCTTGCATTCTCTGCACCAACAGGCTTAACACCATGTGGAAGCTGCCAAGGCTTATGGCAGCCTGTACTCTTCAAAGTGGCAACTGGAGCTGTGCCTAGGACCCTTTGAGCCAAACTGGAACTGGAGCAGCTGGGATGTGGGGAACAGTGTCCCAAGGTTGCACAGGGCAGCAGCATCCTGGGTCTGGCCCATGAAACCTTTCTTTTCTCTGGGGCCTCTAGGCCTATGGTAGGAGAGGCTATCCCAAAGACTTCTGAAATGCCCTTTTAGGCCTTTTTCCCATTGTCTTGGATGTTAGCACATGGCTCCCCTTTAGTCATGCTAATCTCTCTAGCAAGTGGCTGCTCCACAGTCTGCTTGCATTCTTTCTTTACCACAGGGCCAGCCTGCAAATCTTCCAAACTTTTATGCTCTGCTTTCCTTTTAGATATAAGTTCCAACTTTAAGTCATTTTTTTTCTTTCATACCTGATTGTAGGCTGTTAGAAGCAGCCAGGTTATATCTTGAATGCTTTGCTGCTTAGAAATTTCTTCTGCCAGATACACTAATTTGTCACTCTTAAGTTCAAACTTCCACAGGTCCCTAGGATATATGAATGCAATGCCACCAAGCTCTGTGCTAGGGTGTAACATGGGTGACCTTTACTTCAGTTCCCAGTCACTTCCTCATTCCCAGCTGAAACTTTGTCAGCCTGGACTTCACTATCCATATATCTATCAGCATTTTTGTCACAACTATTTAGTCTGTAAGAGGTTCCAAACTTTCCTTCACATTCCTGTCTTCTGAGCCCTCAGCTTTTCTGACCTCTGCTCGTTACCCAGTTCCAGAGCTGCTTGCATCTATTCAGGAATGTTTATAGCACTATTCCTCATCGGTACCAATTTTCTTATGTTAGTCCATTCTTATGTTGCTATAAATAAATACATGAAACTGGGTAATTTATAAAGAAAAGAGTTTTGTTTGGCTCCCAGTTCTGCAGGCAGTAAAGGAAGCATGGCACCAACTGGTGAGGCCCTCAGGAAGCTTCCAATCATGATGGAAGGTAAAGGGGGAGAAGACACATTATATGGTGAGAGCAGGAGCAAGAGAGAAGGGGAAGGACCTGGAGTCTTTTAAACAACCAGATGTCTTGTGAACTGGGTGGGAACTTATCACCAAGGGGATGGTCCTAAACCATTCATGAGGGATCTGCCCCCATGATGCAGTCACCTCCCTCCTGGCTCTATCTCCAACATGGGGAATCACATTTCAGCATGAGATTTGGAGGAGACAAACATCCAAACCATATGTTGAGGAGGTGGGGGAGGAAGATTGTGATCTAAGGATACAAACTTGCAGTTGGTAGGTAAGTTCTGGAGGTATAACATGTTATACCTTAGCATGTTAACTATAGTTTAGTAACTATGTAATTTATTATATACTGAAATGTGCTAAGAGAGTAGATCTTACATATTCTCACCCACACATGCAAATAAAAATGGTAACTGTGAAGTAATGGATCTGCTCATTAGCCTGATTGATTGTGGCAATCCTTTCATAGCATATATGTAAATTGAAACCACATTGTACACCTTACAATTAAATACAATTTTGTCAATTATACTTCAGTAAAGCTGGAAGAAAAAAGACTATCCTTCCTGTACTGGAGGCTTTTGTTTTCGGATGATTGCATTTGTGTAGGTCTATTTCTGGTATCTCCTTTTTTTCTTCTTTTTTTGGTCTGACCTTGAAGCAGTAACACATTATCTTATTTACTTACCACAGTAATTAAAACTGGAGCAAATGTCAGCTCCAACCGTGATACCTGGTAGTTTATTTCACCAGCTTTGTTCTTTGAGGTTGCCTTGTACCTTAAACT